CAGGAATGCTGCCTCGTTTCCTAAGCAAACACTGCCCTATGTTTTTTGCGTGTCCTTACCTCATTGACTGCAGTTTTGCCCTTTTCTCGGGCAATATATGAGACGTTTCTTAGGAGCATTTTAGATTTTGTGGTTTTCAACAAGGTGCAGATACCAGTGCTGAGGATGTCCAGCACATACAGTTAGGGGAGGCTTTCCTGACTGTACCACAGAGAAAAAATGCTTTTTTCCTTGGACCAGTGCAATGCAGCTCAAATGAAAAGCCCTTTTCTTGCTTTGTGTTGCACGTGTGCATTTACTTAGCAATCTAAGCGAATCATTCCTAGAAGGTCTGAGCAGTTCCTTAATTAATAGAAAAAGCGAGGTAATTATTTCAAATTGAATAAAAATGTTAATCTTAAAAAATTAAAACCAGATATATTGAATAAGAGTTGTTTAGCCCCCCTTTCATTTGAAATAAATACAGTCATACTGAGCTGAACAGTCTGTCCAGTGTGATATGTGGTGCCCAGATAACTGAAGTAACTTAACAGAAGTTGCATGAAGGGCGGTATTTTCTTAGTTGGCAAACTTAAATTTCTGTAATCATGTATTAATACCACACCTTTAACCTTGCCGCTAAATATTAATGTTTTATGTGTTTTATTTGATTCCACTTCTCATTCTTTGGTGTGCAATCTATGATTTTTTTTTATTTTATTGCTGACTTATTTTAACTTTGGCTGTTCATGTGGCTTTACAAACTCTCTTGCAGATCTTTATATTTGAAAGATGCAACAGCAGTCACACAGGGAACCTAGTCTTCAGCTGTCATAGCAGATAGCAAAACTAAATGGAAATGAAGAAAATTACATCTAGGTCTAGATTTCTAGCAAAGTTGGACCTTGTAAATATTTGGAAGCTGAAGCTGTTGCTCAAAATATTTTACGTGTATTTATTACTTTATTTACTTTTGTACTTGTATTTAGTATAAACCAGGAAATATAAATAAAAAATGTTGTAACAGTTGACTCTGTGATCTGGGGTTGAGAATTTGTCTCCAGGAGAGAATTTCACCACCAGTCTAGATCTTAGTTTTACAGCTTGATATGAATTGTACGGAGTGATGCATGTATTGGGTCATTTTGTTTTCATTTCAGATTATGTTGTTTGTTTTTTTCTAATAAGGAACTGAATTGTACAAACAAATGATTTGATAAAGTCTTTCTTGTTTTTATTAAAAAATGTTGCTGGAATCTGGAATTCTACTGTACTTGAAAAAATACCTTGACGTTTTTAGTTAGCGCTTTTTAAATTGCCCTGTGAAGAGTCTGCCTTCAAAATAAGTTTTCTACCAAAGCAGGCACTGTTTTTGTTAGAAAATGACTTTGTCAGCATTGGCCTATCAAATGAAATATGGGCTGTGTTTTTTCATTTTTAAGCCTTTCTGCAATACTATTCAGGAAAATTAATATGGTCTTGCAGAAACAGCAAGAGCATAGTTTGACATAGTTTCATTATTTTTCCCAATCATAATGTTCTTTCCCTTCAATAGCTTTATTTATAGACTCTTATATTAGACTCAACATGCTAAATATTCCAAATATGGAATTACTGCTTGATTTGATAAATGAAGGACTAGATTCTTCCCTGTTTGCTGATGCCTATTCAGAGCAGAGCTGTAGCAATCAGTGAACTGACACTAGCTTACAGCTCAATGTGGAGCCTAGTGTTAAGACACTTGCTGATTTTAAGATGCCTAAGGTCAGATCAGAGTGTGGTTTTTAACCTTACTTTTGCAGATACCAGAACTATGTTTTGAAACTAAAAAAAATAACTTTTATTTATTGTCCTTTCATGTGTTGTTAATTGGTGGGTTCTTGCTGTATGTATGGGCCCTAATTCATTAATACTGAATGGGTCTGATAAATTATTTCGGGTTTTGTGGTTATAGGTATTTGTTTTCTTTTTACAGGTACGTTTATCATAGCTCCAAGTGGATGGTGGCTGGTAATGCTGACTCCCCGGTACCACCCCGTGTTTATATTCACCCCGATTCACCCGCCTCTGGGGAGACGTGGATGAGACAAGTGATCAGCTTTGACAAACTGAAGCTTACCAATAACGAGCTGGACGATCAAGGGCATGTGAGTACTTGCTCTTCTACAGTATTATATGTAGGCGCATTGCTCAGCCCTGAAAGACTGACGTACAGCTTCAGCGTGCCAGAAATAGGCTTGACTTTTCAAAGCTGTTTTGCAACTTTACCGTCCAGATCTAAAATCTGCTTACTTTCTGCTCCGATAATTAACTGCTTATTAGAGCCTGCTGTTTTACTCCCCCCTCAAAACCAGAACTCCTTCTGCAAAGTAAGACTTTACAAGGCTGAATTGCTGAATACGAAAGGGCAGAATCGCTCTCGTGTTTTCCCACCGAGTGCGTTACTCGCAACTTCTGCTCCCATCAAAAAGGACGCTTAAATTCACAAGTGGCTAGAAGAAACATTAATAGTGTGTAATAACTTCATGTGAATAAAAATACACTTAACTATTTTCTTAACCTAAACGTTTGTGTGAAATCCCATGAGGTGTTAATAATTGCAGTCAAAAACGAACAACATGGGAGCTGGGTTCGCTCCGATAATGATTTATTGCATACCTTATGAAGCAAGACCCTTTCACAGCTGAGGCTCATTACTTCTGAAATAACTGGCGAAGACGTATGCAGTATGAGTGTTCTGTTTGCAAGTTCTAAATTGTTTAGTTATGACATTATCTAATGTGACAAAATGTGTTATGTTAATATTTCCTTTTCTCTTCAAAACTGTTGAAACATGACAGATGTAAGCCAGTATCTTTCCAGCAATGCCTAAAATAGTTTTACTTGACACCTTAGGAATTAATTAAAAAATGAGAATTGTTTTTAGTCAGGGTGAAATCTTTAATTTTGCAAAATCCCATAATAAATGGCAAATGTTGGCTTGCTTTCAGAAGAAGCATTGAGTTCCAAGTGGTAGAGTTTTTAAGATGTTAGAGGCAAGTTTTGAGACAGGATGTGGATTCCATTGTCCTTAGTGTAGGCCAGTTTATTAAGCAGGATACTTTCTCCTTCACAGAAGGGAGTGAAAGAAAATGTACCTGGCACAGAGTACAAAGATACTACATGCATCTTTCAGTGTAGCTGTAACTCTGTGACATTAAGCCGGGTATTTTGTCAATACATAGTCCAAGTTTAAGTATGAGATTCTTCCTCCCGGTTTGTGTTTGCAAAGGAGATTAACTTGAGACTCTGGTCAAATCGTGCAGGAGCTACAACATTTGCGTTACAGAGGCAGGAATACAGGAGGCTGGCTGGACTGAGCTAGCTAATGTGATAACAAGGATAAAAAGCCTCCCTTTCATCTAATACTGTTCATAATTTCATCGTGCTCTTCCTTGTAAGGAATGTGGGGGTATTTATGTCTCTTGAGTTAGCAGTGCTTTTGCTAAGGAATGTAAGAAAGGTGTTTTACATCGCAGCTTTCCAGAATTACAGTTGTGGGGTCTTATTTGGCAGCGTTCGTTTCTGTAAGGGTTAGCATAGGTAGTTCCCTTAGTTTCCCGAGCCAGAATTTGTGTATTTGCAACTCTTCTCGAGTGGTAGTTGCTTTCTCCGAGTCCTGAGTCTATTGTAAGGGCTTTAAAAAGTCAAGCGAATGTGAATGGGGAAAAAAATGTGGCTTTTTGAACGGAGAGCAGGCCGGCTGGTTTTTGTACTCGGTCGTTTCAGAGGGGCGATACGTGGGTGCTGTGGTCCACCCGTGCACTTGCAGTCACAAACTGCCCTGTGATAAAAATCTCGGCTATGTAGAGAATTGTATTTCTGTATTTTTCCATCCCAGATCTTAGCTTTGTTTTTATTCTGAACTGAAACCTGTGTAGTGTACACAGCACACCATTATTCATAATGTGCGGGGATATAAATTTTCTGGTCTTTAGTTAAGTGTTTCGATTTGGAAACTAGTGAAGCAAAGCCCTAGTACAGCGATTTGAGACACATTGAACTGATTCAGAGCTACGGCAGCGCCCCTCCTCCCCAAAATGGAAATTTAAGTATTAAAATAAAAGGACAAAAGAAAGATGACTGTAAAATAATTTCATATTTCTCAAATCTGGGAAATTGCAAACATGTCATTCATAATTACCAGAAAAGGCAAAAGCAGAAAGCAGAAAAGTGTCTCTTCCAATGGGTACATTTTTTCTTTTAAAGCTATGGTAGTGTGGAATGCTGTATTGAAAAAGCTATGTAGCCTCTGAATGCCTCCAGCAATAATGGAAAATGCATAATCATATTTTGTGATGAATATAAAAAACAATTGTTTCACATAAGCAGGAAGGAACCATTTTTCTCAAAAGGGTACTGGGGAGGGATGGGGGATTAGAAGAGCTAGGGGTCAAGGCTGTAATGTCCCTCAAATATTTGTTTTTATATCAAGTGTTCTGACTCTCCCACCCCTGTATGGGAGATGGGGTGTATTTTAGATTATTGGAAAATGCTTTATTTTTCCCCTCCTGCTTAGGCAGACTGGCTCAGAGAAACCTCGGTGGGGTCTCTGCACTCTGCCATCATTTCTCCAGTAGTTCAAGCAGTGTCAGGCTTCAGCTGTTGTTCTTTGGGTGCGCTTTCCATGCTGTCTAATTCTGGGGCTTTAATCCTTGTTGAAATTGTTCCTTTATTCTTCCCGTGCTCCTCAGAGGTGTCAGCTTTTGCAGAGTGTTTGTGTAAAATCCCAGGGCTGGGTTTTGATCTTGCAGGCGTTGAGGTAGGGAGCTCGCGTGAGATCAGCCCAGAGCCCTTTTACCTGTTGCAGAGTATTAGCTCTCAGAATCAGTGAGAGAAGTGATCCACATCCACGGGCACGGGGACAGTATTTGCAAACAGATGCTAAGGTAGTATTCCTGTGCCGTATTTATATTGTGGTGGTAGTTTGTGGCAGCCAGCTCCCCTTGCATTGCATTGGTCTGGGATTAGCTTCTTGTGAAAGGAGATCGGCCATCTCTAAGACGACTTGCTTCACTGCTCGAACACTTTCCGGGCTCCTTGCTGCCTGCTGCTGTTTTCATCAGTATTTTGAGTGGGACTTTGTGGTGACGTCATTTTATAGCTGTTCTGCGGAGAGATTTGGAAGTACATCTGCACGTAGGGCACTCTCTGATACATGGTTTCCACTTGAAGTCTGAGGAGATCAAGCAAAATTTGTAAGGATATGTTTTCCTTGTATGCTTTTGATCTCAAAAGGGAGTCCCAGGGTGAATTCCCTACTTTAGAAAGATTGTGTGCTTATAGAGGCATTAAGGCCCGATGGCATCATTAAGACACATACTGTGGCGTTTGTGTCTTTCATCTGAGTTGCGATGGTAAGGAAAAGTAAACCTGCATTTTGCATTTGACATTGAGAAGTGCGTGGTCTGGGTGCTCTTTGTTAATGCCTCTCATTCCTCTCTCATCTGTGGAGTAAGTGCTGCATTATAAAAGCAGTCTCTCCCTCTGGCTGCTTAGAGCTGGCTGATTTTTCTATTTTGATGCAGTTTTTAATCTGAATTTCAGTGGAGAGGAAAAGTCAATATTTTGGATGCTATTTTCCATGCTTTTAAAGTGAGTATTTTTTGATGCAGAGGAACATCTTTTAGTGAAAATGAGGCATCCATAGGGAACTCCCTGAGCAAGTTAATTGGAGCCTGTGATGTCATTGTCAAAACCTTACTTACAGGCTAATAAAACCCCTGATTATCCAGAAACTTGGCTTACCCAAAATGGGGTCATGTCGTCTGGCCAGGACCAAGCGTATTAAACTAGCCAAACTCTAGTTTATCCAAATGAATTCAATGTCCTCGATGTCATTTGGATGAATGAACTTCCACGGTGTCTGGCATAGGAGCTCTGTTGAGTGCCTGAGTACATGCACATTCTGAGGCTACTCAAGGAGCAGGAAATTAAAAAGCTTCCCCTGAATGTTGATTAGTGGTTCTACAGGCCAATAGCCATAGGACTATTTATTTATCGAGTTACTAATTTCTTAGGCCTTCCAACAATAATAGTCGAGCTTCCAATTTTCTTTTTTTTTTCCTTGAAATATTCTATTTTAGTAGTGGTTAGCTGAAGTGGACTAAAATAGAGGAAAAATTCTGTATTTTAAATCTCCTCTAAAAATTTGGGGGCAATACCAAGAGGTATTTTTGTGTTTAACTTCATGCACTGTGAGTTCATGTACTTCTCATTTATCATTTATTCTTAATTATGTTTTTGTATGCTGGGAGGGGTTTGTGTATTGATACTTGTTGTCTCTATTACAAATCTAGGGTTATTAACACTTTAGAGTTTTGGATTTTGGTGTTATTTTACTCTGAGTTTCTGCTCCTTCAGAGTGTGAGAGTCTCAGCTTGCATTCAAAACAAGATATGTTTCCAGCCTTCAGGGTATCAGGAAAAAAATTGCTCCAAGCATATCCCGAAGGTTCCAAAACCAAAAGGCAAATGCTGCTGCTGTTAATCCTGTTAGCTCAAATCCAGGCTCCAATGGGGAAAAAAAGTGACAAAACTTTCCTAATTCCAGTGGGACCAGGACTTCACTCCTGACTTTTTTTTTTTTTTTGAGCCAGTCTCAATTGAGCCAGTCTCTGAATTTGGAGCTCCTGAGTCGTAATTTTTAAATGCTTAGGGTTGGCAATAACATAAATGCACAGGGATTAGACTACTGTAATAAGAACCTTCAGAGGTTAAAGAAAACATTTGATTTCCAGTAAGTGGCATGGTAAACACATACCATAATCTGTTCCAAAAAGCTATTAGTCCTGAAACAGCAGGGTGTCCTTTCTAATAAATGTTATCTTTTTCCTTTCATGACTGCATAGATTATCCTTCACTCCATGCATAAATATCAGCCTCGTGTCCACGTCATCCGAAAAGACTGTGGAGATGATCTGTCCCCCATCAAGCCTATCCCTTCAGGAGAAGGGGTGAAAGCCTTCTCCTTTCCAGAGACAGTTTTCACTACTGTCACAGCATACCAAAATCAACAGGTAACTTGGGCTTTCTGCTTTAGGACTTTACAGGCTTTTCAGAATAGACCAGCCAAGTAAGAGATAGGAGAAAAGCGCATACTTTTATTATACCGCTTATTAAAAAGCATTGTCTAAACCATTTTCATATTACAAGTAGCTTTCACTAGTGGTATTGCAGCAGTGCCTGGAGGCTATAGCTGAGACTTCAGGCCATGTGGGCTAGATGCTGCATGTGAAAAGTCATTCTTATTATGGAGATCACACAGTCTAATTAGCATAGTTAATGGTGTCTTAATTATAAATACAGCACTGAGGCGCAAGGCAAAGAGCGGTCTAATTTTTAAAGGTGTTTTTGGACCTTTAAGCGTAGATACATGTCTGGATAGAATTTTTAAAGGACTTTTGTTCCTGACACCAGTGATTTCAAAACTCCCAACAGAGAAGCTGAGGTCTGAAGAAAGTTGCAGTCATTTTCATTAACTGCATTCAGCATATATTATTAACTGCAATTTGTCTAGGTCCACACAGATTCAAAGTCGAAAGTAAACTGCAGGTTGTGTGACTCTGGTGTTTGGCTCTTATTACCACTTGTTTAAGTATTAACATATGTAGTGACACCATAGTTAGTGTTGTGACATTTTATTAATTCCACGTAAGTTATTGCAGCTATATTTTGAGAAATTATATATGCCTTGCCGTCTTTACAAAGAGAAGAGCAGGAGAGCCATATAAATACTGAAATATAACTATTTGGTGCCTATCTCATTTATTTAAATAAATTACAAGTATTTGGGGGAGGTTTGCTGTTTTTTTTAATGGAGGATAATAGCCTAGAGATAATCTCTCTTTTCACATTTCCTTCTTGACCTGTATAGAAATAAAATTTAATTTAAATTTTATTGCAGTTAGGCGGTGTACTTTCTTAGGTGAAGAATGACATTTGCCAGAAGATTTTTCTCAAGAATTCCAACCTGCCATTTGGTAGCATTAAACACCTATTAGCTTCTCTGGGGATTTGCAAAAATAATGATCAGAAGGCTGGCCCTCTTTTTGCTGTGTTTCAGGACAACCATCTTAAACCATGAAAATGTGAAGATGTTTCTACTCCACTGTTGGCTTAATTCTGTCAGGAGAGTCATTTTGTGTGTTACTTAGCTGAATTTTCAGGTAGTAATTTCTCTAATCATATTCACAGATAACTCGTCTGAAGATTGATCGGAATCCATTTGCCAAAGGGTTTAGGGATTCGGGACGTAACAGGTAGGTGTTGGGGAAGGAGGTGGGCTTGTAACTGCTGACAGAATTGGTTTGTGAAGGCTGGTCGAGGGGAACACCTCTGTTTACAGACAGATTAGTCTGAGGACTCAGACTCCTTGAGGGACCACTTAGGTTTCCCAGTAATGTTCTCTGTGGTGGGCTCCCATTCCTACTCCTCGGACCATCTAGGTCAAGAACGGGTTGGCACTCGGCTTGACTCATGTACTCAAATTTCTTTCGGTGGAAGCGGCAGCATACTGTGAAGGCTGCAAATGGAATTAATGCATACTCAGGTCTGTGATTTCAGGCTGCTCCTGAAATCTCCCGTTTCTCCTGGCTGGAGACACAAATTGCAGATACCAGTGGCACACTGTAAGCCCAGGTTCTCTTGCATGTAAGTGGCATTTAGTATGGAGGAATGGCTTGTTGTTTTCTCTTAAAGGAGTAGAAACTAAGTCACCTCGTGCAGTAACCTTATGTTTAGTACACTAGGTGTACTAGGAGGTGGGAGACCTGTGTTTGAGTGTCCCTTTAGCCTAAGGAGTTTTAAATCCACTTCCTAGGTGAATGCCTTTCCTACTAGGCTGTAGATGACCTTGAAACGAGACTGGTTTCCACCTCCTCTGTTGCGGTTGGACTGATTAATTGCTTGCTCTCTCTTGATCTATGAATCTTTCAAAATAGCAATAGGGAATCTGAGTAGTGCAAAGTGGAGACTTGGGTCTAGTGCCTGCTGCCAGTACTGATGAGGTATTTTATCCAAACACTGTTTAATGCAAAATACTTAAGCCTGTTATGAATTGTATGTTAAACCAGCTAAAAAAAAAAAAAAGCAGCATTTAATTGTGGTGTATATAATACATCAGTTCCAGTGACCACATTGCGTTTGGTGTCTACAGCTGCTATATTTATGACTTGGCCTTGCAGAGAGGGGAGCAGACTCTGTGCTGGTAGGAATGCTCAGAGTATCTTTTGGTATGTGCTTTATTGAGCTTCTCTTTTAGCAGAGGCTACAGCATTAAAGCCTGGTTTGTGCTTCCACCTGAGTGACATAAATGCTGAGACTGGACAGCAAACGAGTAGTTTTTAGAAGATGAACAGTTATAGAAGGGGTGGGGTAGTTGTAAAGATTTACAGGAACCCACTGTAAGTATCTTTTCAGTTTGTACTCTGCATTCATTGCTCTCTGAGATTTTTGTCTTCTAACAAGAAACAATTGGCCATGCTCTGTCCTAGGGCCTGGAAGGGATGCCCCAGGCACTGGCATAAATAGAGTTTTCTCCTCCTTTGTAGCCTTCTGGTTTGAAATTAAGTGAGCAGTAACTTCCAGATAAATGCAGTGACTGAAGAAGCAAAACATGCTGTATGTACTTGGGGAAGAAAAGAGTTGCCATACATGCCCTATTTGACATCTCTCCGTAGACAGTGTCTCTGCTATGCATGCTTTTTGCAGAGCTATAAAATAAATACTAAGGAGCCTCCTAAGAAGTGTGAAACCGTGACTCCTCTGAGATTTCTGAGTTTAAGTAGAGTTAGAATTTCTTCCATAATGTTCTATGAAACAAGAGAAGATGCCCTTGAAAACAGAGAGGAATGAATTGTTCAGAAACCAGTTTTGAACTGGATTTAACGTGGTGGGACAGCCCTGGTATTACCCAAGAACTACGTAGGTAAGAGTACTGCATCTGCAACCATGCAAATCCAGTTGTAGGACTGGGGATATCCAGAGAGGTTTTTTTGTTTGGCTGCTAGGAATAAGTTTGGTTTGGGCAGTAGAAAAAAAGCAGGATATTTTAATGGAAAGACAGTAATACTTTATGGAAAAGGATTAGGCGGCCAGTCCTGTAAGAAGGGACAGCTTCTGTATAAATGTTTTGGAACTGGCTTTAGATGAGGTCTGAATGCTTTTATTGTACCAAACACACTTGTTACAGAAGTGACTCCGCAAACTCTTGTCCACTACAAATTGACATTGGTTTACTAAAGTCAGTATTGCTGTTTTCTTTGATAGGCTCTGTGGGACTGAATAAGTGTGCTTGGGAATGCAGCTCAGATTTTTAATTGTCGAGGAAGATTTGCCTTTTTAATTTAAATTACTGGTCTACTCAGTTGATTATTATTTTACTCTGTTGCTAAACATTGAAATTAAAAGTTAAGATTCTGTTATCTTCATTGTTCTAGCTGGTATACTTATCACCTAGGCATTTTAATCTCCAACAAATGTGTCAAAAAAAAAAAAAATACTGTGTTATCATTATATCCAACTTTTCAATGTTGCTTTAATTGTTGCAGCTATCTTACTCAGCACTGCTATGCAATAATTCTGTTTAATTAAAAATATTCCCTTTCAGGTCGTTCCTGTTCAGTCCCACAGCCTATTTCACAGAAATCAGTAGCTTCACCTTTTAAAAGCATTCCCTGTGCATTTGCAAAGTGCAACAGAATTTATGTGCTGAGAATAGTTTCATTCTTCAGTTAGGCCTTAAGTTTGACCCTATAAAAACTTTTACTCAGGAAAGGACCAGAATTTCTCCCTTTAAATACTTCAGGAAAAACATAACTGTTTTGTTAAATAAACTTGGCCATTTGATAGCGTAAATTAGGGTGGTGATAAAATGTGGAAATTGTTCGAAGGCATCTTGTATAAATTATCACCTTGGCTACACTCCTCCAGGAGGTGGCTTTTATCTCCACTTTAACTGGAAATGAAAATTCACCATTGCTGCAGAAAATGAAGGCTATCTTTTTAGTCCAGGTTCAGCTAATAAATACTTTATAACTGTTTCCTGAAATACGTTTGTGATCCTGCTGGAAACGCAATAGGGAAGAAGCAGTATCAGAAGAACATGTTGGGAGCTTCAAATTTGGCTATTTGCATAATTCAATTTTACAGAGTGCTGCTGCTCAAAGGCAAGCACTTGTATTTGGTGTTGCCTGATGCTGACACTTAACAGGCCTTTGGGGCCCAGCAGCCAAAAATAACAGCAAAATGAAACCTCTGAGGTGCATTATTCATAAAATTCTGTCAGAAAACAAAGGAGCCTTTACCTTCAGGAAATAGAGATTCTTCTAAATACTGTCTGCCATGATTGTCTACCTGGTTATTTCTGTTTTGTCATGACACTGTTGAAAGAAAATTATTACCTTTAGAAACTTAAAATTTTCATTTTTCTCGGCACATAAAGCAATGTTGTGTCTTTGTTATTATGCAATTTAGTAGCCAAACCAAGGCTTGCTCATGTTGTAAGTGTGATTTTTTTTCCAACTCTCTGGTAATAACTGGGAATCGTGTTTTAACACAAATTGTAGTGGATTACCTTTGTTCTAGGCAGAAATAAGAGATCATCCCTCTGGCAGTTAGGGCAGGACTTTTAAGGAAATGTCATACAAGTTTTGTCCCCCCTGCCTGCCAGAAATAAAAAAAACCCAAAAAGCCAGCACTGACATAGAGAGCCAGATTGTGGAAATGGGAAACTCTTTGCATGCTGCCAGCCCAGTGACCACAGCAGTCTCATGGATTAGGACGTAAGGCTCTTTTCTAAAAAGCAAAACGAAACTCAAAATAAACCTGAAATGTTACTGATTTTTATATGTTTCTGAGGTAAACTATTCAGAGAAATGTGACAAAATACAGCTTGTTTTCTTGACGTTGTGATGTTTTTGTTCTAAATAGAATGGGACTGGAAGCTCTGGTAGAGTCTTATGCCTTCTGGAGACCGTCACTGAGGACACTTACATTTGAAGATATACCTGGGATACCCAAACAAGGTAACAGTCGTCTTTGTGTTCTTTCAAAACAAAAATGCACAAAGATAAATCTTTGCCCATCATTCTTTATAAAAATCGAGATAAGTGTGTCACTTGCAGAGAAAAAGCAACCAACGAACCCCGCTGCAGGCCATCACCTCTTATCAGAGCTATTCTAAATTAGAAAACTAATGCTAACTTAACCACTGTGGCAGTAAAAATGTTAGGTTGTAAAGATAAATCAGATCACATGTGGAAGATGACAGTTATTTAAGGATGGAATAACCTCTTCCTTAGTGTTATGCTCTGGCTAGATACACAAGGCAGAGTTTATTTACAGATGACTTCTGTTGTACACGTCCAGAATCCAATAAAGGAATAACTTGTGTGTTTAAGAGGAAAAAAAAAGGAATGGGGAAGAAACGTCCCCTAAGTAATGAGTCAACAGCGGCAAGCTTAATTGGGTTTCCTTCTTGGAAAGACTCCTTGATTCTTAAAGACCTAAAAATTGTTCAGTAAAAGTCCCAACAAACTTTATCTGCATCCTAGAGCTTGAAAAAATGGACTTACTCTCTATTTTGTTTTTTCCTGCTCCCCACTTCATAACCTCTTGGCTCCCACTTTATCACAGAGGTGGTGCTGCAGGGGAGGGAGGGGTATTTAAATGGCCTCTTTGGACAGAGAGGGGAGGCTCTGTACTCTTTTCTGAGTTCCTTTATTTCCAAAGTACCCCAGTGGATATAGAAAACCTCTCAGATGTTTCCCAACTAAATCAGACATATTGCTCTTGATTCTTCGCATTTCCTGCTACCAAATTTACAAACATCCTTCCTGCCTTCTTGATAATGTATTCCAAAGCCATTAAAAGCATCTTCAGACCTGAAATAACTTGTCAGACTGCATAAGGCTGAAAGGCAACTCACTATGAAGTTAAAATGTCTAGAAGACAGGCCAGGTGTATTGCCCTGTTTGTATATAGCAGCACTGTTTTAAGAACAGGGGAACTGCTGCCATGAACGTCACTTCCTTTTCTGCTGTTGCAGGTTAAGGAGCATGTTGAAGTTACTGTTGATGTTCACAGAATGGGAACTGGGACCCTTGGAAAATCTTTAGTTGGCTGTACCTTGGCCAGTAGGGTGGTTTAGAGTCTTGCTGAAAGACCCCATTAGAAATTTGTCCTGGTTGTTAATGCTGGAAGTGCCTGCCTTTGTATAGTGGAGGCGTTGACATAGATTGGAAGAAAAATAAGTATGCCTTACACTAGGATTTCTTGAATGTGGTGATGTCTCATGGTGCTTTGTGCCTGTTGTGACCTGTCAACAGAGCAAGAAGAAGCAGGCAGAATTCACTGATAATGTATTTTGCTTTTTACTAGCTCACCTATCATGAAAACTTGTTAAGTTACTGACAGCATGTATCTCTTTGCAGCATCAAGCTGTTTGATAGTTAATGTAGTTCACAAGCAGGAGAGTCTTCTGTGCTAAGTGACTTCCGCCTGGGAGACTGTGAAAGGCCCAAATCAATTTTTTGATGCTCATTTTTTGGGGAGATACAATCTCTAAGGAAAGGAAGTGTTTCTTACAGCTGAGAAACTTTCAGTCCTGAGAAAAAGCTTCACCTGTAGCAAGCAGCGCGTTTTCACAAGCATTCAGCACTGGTATTTGTCACGTAAAAAGTTCTGATATCAGTAAATGAACAGTTTGTGAACAGTTTGCTGCAAACCTAAACCTCCACCTACCTGTTCAAGAAATGAAGCAGCCGCGCACAGTACTCAGCCTACACTTTTCCTGAAGTTGTTCTGAAGTTTTGTTCTCAAGTTTTTTGGTTTGAAGTTGGAAGTTTTTTGTTCTGAAGTTGTGAACTTTCCTGAAGCTGTTGAACTGTGGGAGCCTCTATCATTTGAGCGAAGGAGCCATTCCTTCGCTGGTGCTCTGACAGTGAGTGCTTGAAACGCACTCTGGGGTGTAGCAACAGCATAGACAATACAAAATTCATAACTTTGAAGAAGGCCGCCTGTGATGTACTTGCCTGGCTACATCTTAGCTGCCATGCAGCTTGCTTCCTGTGTCAAATAAAGCATAGTTAACATTTCAGGCAGGAGCAATAAGTATTGAGTGATGCTTGAAAAGCATAACTTACGTTCTCTTTCTTGGACAGGTTGGTTCTTTAAAAATGTGCATGTGCCACACATGCACACACACCCCTGCATGTGTATGTACATGTCATTTTTTGAATGAATTTGCATTGTGTTTCATGTCAAAGGTTATTATAAAAGACAAAGGTCTTGATCTGCCAGCTAGGAAGTGAACCTTTCCCAACATGCTTCTTACACTGTAATATTCTCTTGCAGGAAATGCAGGTTCCTCTACTTTACTCCAGGGATCTGGCAGTGGAGTGCCATCTACCCACCCTCACCTTTTACCGGGTTCCCCTTGCTCATCTCCAGCCTTCCACCTCAGTCCCAACACTAGCCAGCTCTGTAGCCTTGCTCCAGCTGACTACACAGCTTGTGCGCGCTCAGGCTTGACCCTGAACAGATACAGCACTTCCTTGGCTGAAACCTACAACAGGCTCACAAACCAAACCAGTGAGACGTTTGCACCCCCGAGGACTCCCTCCTATGTCGGTGTGTCGAGTAGCACAACTGTGAATATGTCTATGAGTGGCAATGATGGGGATGCGTTCAGCTGCCCACAGACTGGCCTATCTATGCAAATTTCAGGGATGTCTCCACAGCTCCAGTACATCATGCCATCCCCATCCAGCAATGCCTTTACCACTAATCAAACCCACCAAGGCTCCTACAACACGTTTAGACTGCACAGTCCCTGTGCGCTCTATGGATATAACTTTTCCACATCCCCTAAACTGGCTGCCAGTCCTGAGAAAATCGTTTCTTCCCAAGGAAGTTTCTTGGGGTCCTCGCCAAGTGGAACCATGACGGATCGGCAGATGTTGCCCCCTGTGGAAGGAGTGCACTTACTTAGCAGTGGGGGGCAGCAGAATTTCTTTGACTCTAGGACCCTAGGAAGCTTAACACTCTCGTCTTCTCAAGTGTCTGCACATATGGTTTGATGAAGCCTTTAAGTAAAAGTACAGTATGTTTGGTGTCTACAATGTATTTCTTTTGGAATATGCAAGGACACTCGATGTAGCTTGTAAAGTGTGTGTATATATAATATGAGAGGAAGTTTCACTGAATTTTTGACTTGCTTGTGGCCAGATTATTCTCCTATTTTGAGTTACACGGAGTTTGTTGCGGTGCAGACTGCTTTAGTTTTCTGGTATAATACACTTAGTTGTATAACACGTTGGGACATATGCATCAAATTAAGTAAGACTTCCTCCCCTTTCCCCCTCCTCTGTTCTAACCCCTTTAAAGAATGAAATGACACTTGGAGTATTAAACAACACAAACAAGCCCACTTACATTTCCTATAGTACTAGTGAGTTTCTTTAGAACATTCATACAATGATAAGCTGATGCACCAAAGGCATTTTACAAGTTTCTTCTCTGTTATAAGGGATATGAAGGGTATTTGGACTTTGAAGTGTTAAGCATCAAGCATCCAGCCTAAAATAGAAGTTTAGCTAATGGATTATTTACAAAGTAAGTGGAAAGATTAGTTTGCCTTCTCATGATACGCTGTTTTTAGCTTATCAACGGCACAGCATTCTTACTAGAATTTATTTTTTTCAGCATTAGTCTAGATTTATGTTTAGGTGTTTGGAGACAAATAATGCATCTTCAAATTGTGGTGATAGGAGTAATTTAAACCAGCAGCAGAAGAAACGGCATTATACAGAATGAATTTTGGGATGCTTCGTTTTTGTCAAAGGAAGGGCTTGATGCATTTTTTCCTTCATAAATATTGCCTATGAGACATTTACTGGACAGTAGGATATTCTAATGTATCTTTGTTTTTGTATTTTTACTTTTTTAAAGGAAAATGCAGGTTTGATTTGGGGGGGGGGGGGAAAGCAGGATGAGAAATTCCATTATCGGTTTTACCCTTTTGTGCGTGTGTTGTGTTTTGGGTTTGGTGTTTGTTTTGGGTTTTTTGTTTTTTTTTTTTAAATAAGGGAAAAAGGTCCTACATCCTCAGTATCTCATGAATACATTGCCTGTAGCAATTAGGCAGATGACCCAGTTTGCTCGCAAGTATTGCTGGAAGCAGAACTTTGTCATAGCTGCTACCCTGTAACACAGCCAAAGTGGGACCAGGATTACAATAGGCAAAATTCCTTTAATAGTTTACTTTGAATGCTCAAGCATGACACTTACAGCCTATGTCCCTCCCTCCAGGGAGCCATCTATCTTACTCCTTTCTGTGACGAGGTTACTGCTGCTCTGGTTCTCAGTCAGTTTTTGCCCTGGAATTAGAGAGGTTCCCTTCCTTCCCAGCTCTGGTTTTAATTGGTGCTTGTAAGAACACAGATCACAACCTGCTCCTGACCAGGCTTCTCCAGAGTGACAAGGACATGGGGAGACACTTGTCATGGGGAAATTTCTCCCCTCATCTGCATGTGCACAGCCCTGGTATGCATCAGTCCTGCTGCGAAAGCTGCCTCTCAGCTGCCCGCCTGTCAGAGCTGAACCATGGAGGTTGTAGAACAGATTTTAATGCTTGAGCGAATGGGTCGTCTTCGACAGTAAGCGAAGCCTCCTTTATATTGTGTGGGTGATGTAAAGGCATTATAAAGTGGGTACAAATGTAGTTGAAAATGCTTCCCTGGTCAGCATTGAAGGAGAATAAGGCCTTGCAGATTTTATGTTTTTCTCTGTTAGATTTTTTGGTGAAGGTAGATTGTTGTGTTTCTCCAGAGTTCCTACATCTTTTCTGGCAAACGGTGGGCTTAACTGCTCCCATTTCAAGAAAGACTCATTGCAGCTCATATTTCTTCAGTGGGCTGGAGATAAGGCATGCATAAACAGCCCTCTCACTATCATTTCTTATTATTTGGGAATAGAAGAGAAACCACAGCAGTCTTTAAGCCCATGCCTGGAGAAGGCTTTATTTCTATTAGTTACATATTTGTTTATGTTAAAGAATACATGTGGAAGGTTCTCATTCAAAGCTGGAAAGACAAGAGGATGAGCCTGCAGTTGAGGAGATGTGGGTTTGCTTCTTTGCTGTCACAAACTTCCCAAGTGACCTTGGGCAATTCACTCAGCCTTTCTATATCTTATTTTTTTCCTTCTGTAAAATGTGATAATAGCACTTCTCTGCCTCACAGTAAATGGTGACAGTACATTAAAGATGAACATCATCTTTACATCTACTGTACTGTGGACAATACATTACAATGAATGGCTAGGTAGTGTTCATATATGAGGATAACAAAGAGCATTCATGTACTTCAGGTCTGTCACTGGTTTTGGCATTGCAGTGTCCTTTGCGGCAGACCTCCTAGCAAAGACCTGCAATGCTAAAAGCACTGTTCAAAAACCTCACAGTAAGAATTTGTGAAATGGTTCTAAGATGTGTAGAAGATGGGAAAATTTTCAGTTACGCAAATTGTCATAGCTCTGTTGGTTCAAATTAACAGAAACTTGTGTACAGTAATTCCTGCCCTAGCCAAAACTTTGAAATGTTGCAGTTGGATAAATCTTTAAATGGGAAGAATGATACAATTAATCTGTACTTGAAAAAGGTTAAAGATAATTATCCATGTCATCTTAAGGGCTCTGACTAGGTAGAAAAGTGGAAGAGCTAAATCATGCGTGTTCCTACAAAGGGAAAAAAAAAAAGGTTGTGTGTGGATGTTCATGGAGGTGCTCCTGGCAAGAGTATGTACTTTATCGTCTGGGAATTTTTTAAGAACTGGTCTCTTATTTTTCCTCAAATTATTCTTATCATATAACCACACAATATTGTTTGAAACATTTGTTCCTTAAAATTTGAATCATATTGTAAATACTTACTGGTGTGTCATTGTGAAAAGACTAGCTTTTTATCAATATAGTAAATGCTATATATGCATTATATCTATAATTATATATCTGTATTTTACAAAAATGCCACAGAAAATATATTAAAGTGTGTATTCAAACACTTTTTACTACATTTGGAAAATTGAGGGGCTTGGGCCTTTTTTTTTCCCTCTACAACTTCAGCAAGACCAAAGGAAGTGACTCTAAGGTAAGCTCTGAAATTCAAAGACTTAATACAACAAGGTGCAACAATCCAACCAGTCCACAATTCTTACATGGTTCATTTTAAGGATCTGCTGTTGAACCTCTCTGTTATTTGTACACAAAGGTAACAATAGGTGTTGGGTACAAGGAAATGCTGAGGCTGATAGCAGAGCTATGAGGGTTTTATGTGGGAAGAAGGGACTGAACAGCTTGCCGGGCTCCTTAGCCAGTGATGGAGCCTTGCTGGTCCCTCATAGCACAGCTCTTCCCAGCTGCCAAGACCAGTTCAGCTGCCCCATATCAGCTAGATCTGGGAAGTTAGCACTTCCATGTGACCAGGTGCTTGAGTGCAAGCTTGGTACCCTGCATATTTTCTCTCTCTGCTCTTACCCCGGTCATTCCCTCTCTGTTCTGCTTATTCTAAATGCAAAAATCCTAAGGCAAAATTTACAACCTATAATCAGCTGGGTATACTGTTACTCAGCACAGAGCAACGTTTCTCCCCCCAGAAATACTGTTACGCGTAGTGGCCTTATTTCCTATTGTACTGCAATAAAAGATTCCATGTGATGTAGGGCACAGGGCCTGAAAATCTGATTACTTTAGAGACTAGGGTTTCATAGTCACTTAACACCAGCATTGTTGCAAATGACCAGAATTAGGGCAAGAGAAGTAGGCATGAAATGCTTGATCATAAATATCAGGCCTCGAGAGAGAATGAAAGCTTCTGTTTTTAATAAGAGAAGAGCCTTTTTTGGAATAGCACAGTCAGACTCTGAGAGGGCTCATTTCTGCTTCCACAGAGGACAACAGGAGAAACGTTAAAATTGCAGACAGTGTCAGCATTAATCCTAGCAAGTCTATACCCTGAGCAGTTCAACAAAAGGAACCTAAGTCATCATCAGAAGTAGCTCACAGGTTCTGTGGGTGTATTTTTCCTGTAAAGATAATGCATCTAATTAGTACTGTGTAGAAGCATGTTTAAAAAGTCTGAGGAGTAGCAACTTTCAGAGGTTTATGTACCAACTTCACATATGAAATTACTGTTTTGTTGCACTCTTCTGAATGCACCGTCAAACTCCCATGACATTAATGTTTAAGTTTACTCTGAAGTCCCAAGTTTTAATACCAATAGCTGCAATTTATCATAATGAGGTAATGGTTAATCTTTGTGGGCTAACTTGTCACTTCCACTGACTAAATAGATTTGTGGCCTTTCTAAACATTGGAGATAATGCCCAGGTTTTAAGACAAGCTCTTGGGCTCCAGTTCTGGAGCAGGGAGTGGCAGCAGAACTGGAGATAGCACAAATGGACCCTGCAATCCCAGCATACACTTTTGAAATGTCATGGGGACTGTGACCGCAGCCACAACGTATAGTTCCATCCAAATACATCTCAGTGCACCTCTCACAGGAGTCTGTAGCCTAAAATGAGTATTGACATCAAAGGCTAGTCAAGAAAGATAAAGCATGATGTGAAAATACTTGTGCTACCCGAAAGTTGGGCTATTGCCGTGAACGTTAAGTGCAGCCCCAGCACAGATTTAACCTATGTCAGCACTGCAGCCACTTGGACTAGGCCGTGCCCTTATGCTCATTTGCACACCACTGGGTTTTATTTAGATGCTATAATATAGAGCCAAGAGTAAATTTAGAGCATATTGGAGGAAACCTGGACTCCACTGTGGCCAGTGGTAATGTTGCCATTGACTTGAGCTTTATGGATACCACATTTTCAGACCCTGAGCCATCCCTCTTTCTGTTGCTGTGTGCTTTACCCATGCAGCAGCTGTAGTTACAGTGTTTTCAGGGGTATTCTTCTGGCCCTTTGTGGTCTTTTTTTGGTGAATAACTGGCTTTTTACATTTCACGTGCTCATATTTTGTTTTTAAATTTTTGCTTCTGCAGTTTTTGAGCCACAGTCTGTCTCGCACTGAATGATAAGTCAAGCCTGGAACTTGGTACTCCCTCCCCCAGAAGCCTTGCCGATGGATGGTGTATTCCCTTCCACTGCAGATAATTGACTGTATATTTCC